TACCCAGTCAATGGTCCAAGCTGGAAATCACGAATACTATGGCAGAGGACACGGGACCAGGTACGTTTCAAAAGGTCTCCCTGAAGCTCCTACGAAGTTGCGAAAACAAGGTAGAACCAACACTATAAATCTAAAGGAGACTGCGAACAAACAGAAAGCCACACCATCTTGGCTTTCATATCTACATGAAGAGTAAACTGTATTTTGGCATCCAAACTTGTCATTTATGCATATGGGTATGTAACATGCTAAAAATAGCCTACATAGATTAATATATATAAATATAAATATATGTATATATAATATTTTATCGTCAATTTTCACTATTATCAAAATGTAACAATGAACTTGGATGGTAGCGATAATATTCCTCTTCAAAATAGGCTAATAATAGGAAATTCAATAAAAATAAATGATACCACCACAAAGTCGCATCTTTCATCTCCTATAAAAGTAGTAATTGAAATAACGTTTTCACTTATTCTTATCAGCTATTGTTTTGGTTTCTGAGGGTGGTAACGGACTAAATAGTATCGATCTTATGAAGCCAGCACATTCTGCTAATGTCCAACTTTTATCTCCAACCCTATTTATGAGACTAGGGGGGGAATCTTTAATTCACTGAGCCTTAAGTGTAGGAAAGTGTTGGATGAGAAACATTGAAATAAGGGTTTGCTAAGTCTAATTAGTTATTGTCTGAAAAAATAAGCCTTAGGGCTTGAGTGAATGCATTACAGGTGTACTAAGGAATAAAGTATTTGGTCAGTTATTTCAAAGCCTATATCATGTTTTTGCCTTCTCAAATGCTTATTGATAATTCCGGCAAAGAAACCTTGGTAATTCTGTGATTATGCAAACTTTATGTGGGATTCTCAATCCTTTAGCCGAATTACTTTGCCTCAAACGAATGCTATCATGCGGTTTTTCTTATGTCGAATAGACCAGCTACCCGTAAACGCAGAAGAATAGCTGAACATAAATACACTTGCAGCAAAGCTCTTAGATACATATTCCGAAAGTATCCGAGAGAATGGATGAATCTGGATACGTGATTATGATTATAATTACACCCACTATTAGGCGTGAGGTTAGGGAGGCAATCAAAATTCACATATTTAGTGATAAGCTGAATATCAAGAATTGGAAAGTAAGTTAGGTATGAGCTATTTTCAGTCATTTTATGGACTTAAATATACAATTTCGGGCCAACTGCTAAAAAATGACTTTATCAGACTTTTGGTCGTGGTCCTAACTTTATTCGCAGTCTATACATATCTGATTTCCCATAGAGAGCTCATCAAAAAAACCAGACGTGCGTCCAGTCTTATGCCATCGATGTGATGCGTAGATCATCGTCAAATAAAAAAGGGGTAATTAAACCTTAATTGCCTATGCCAGATGTTACACGTAACATTCATTAGGCTTAAGTTGCCTGGCACAACTACACACATATTACCATGCCGTTGTGCCTAATACCATAAGGATAGGAGAATGGGCTATCCAAATACTTCTATACCGGCCGGGTGTTTTTCATTATTAGCAAATATAGTGATTAAGAATAAGCCATTTACTTTTACATATTCGGTTCAAGCTTGAAATGGCTATATGGGTGTGTTGCAGCCCTGATTATGGTAGTCACTTGGTGGGAGAGATGAAATCATATATTGTTTCACCGCGACTGTTAGAGGGAGGTTCGAGGACTGCGTCAAGCTGAACGTTTCAGTAAAATCAGAATACAACAGAATAAGGGGATTCCACGATATTCTTCTGTCGTTATTGTCCCAAGAATCTCTTCGGCAAGCATCTTCAAGTGAAATGATCTTTGCCGAACAGTAAAAACCTGAACAAGTTAACTACTTAAAATAGAATCAAATTTAGGAATATTGGATAAATCAAACTTTAAAGTTTCTTTACTGATTTCTTCCAAAACTCTATTTCAATCACTCTTAATCATGAGTCACTCACTCTAGCCTGTATGGCATACCGAATTCTCTTTTTATATCATGGTAATTAGTTGAATAGAAACTCTTCTCCACGTCATGCTCTGCTCGAGGTAAATGCTAGCAAACTTGCCTAAGATGGAAAAAGATAATTATGAAAAACTGGTGACATTCTCCGATCCCCTGACATAGTATTTCTTAAGAGTCCAAAATATATTTAATGATTTTGATTTTGATTAAAACGTAAATAGCAGATTTTTTCATAATAATATATATTGATGAGACTCGGCTAATCACACAATTTAGGATTGTTTCGTTTCTGAGATGGATGAATGCTTCTGTGATTGACCTTTGCTCAGAGTTGCAACATTTTAGTATCAAATATTATCCTGTCACGTAGAGAACTCCTTTACGAATATACCGTTTTCGTCACCCTTTCGCGCCGATTCTCGGCAAAGCATAATGATCTGATGCGTTTTGAATGTTTCCTTCCCTAATCTATAATAAAGACTCAACAATATATAATTTATATGATATAATTACATTAGTTTATTTTATAATGTATTTTGCCGTTGACACTTCGTGGTGGTGACTGGTGGTCATTTCATTTCAGCAGCAACAGCCGAGCAACTTTTCATAATGCAGCAAAGCTTAGTTGGATCTTGCTACATGGTATACTTATACGAATTGAGTCGACCTGTCTTGCAAATTGCACACTGAGATTCAAAGAGTGTAGCGAATCTAGGGTTTTTAGTCTACGTTATCAAGAAATTGTCATTCCTACATATAATGTCTCGGTAACATTGATTACGAACATATGATTCTATCCACACCTCTGAAAGTAATAACCAACATGCTAATGACTCTCCTCTTCCGACCTCGAATAGATGCTAATTATGCCTAATGTTGTTGGTGAGTTTGTTGGTTTATACCTACAAATTTAGTCATTTTATGAGCCAGCTTGTAGCCCGCCTAGGCGGCCCCAACAAATCATAATTGACAGGATACAATCGGAAATCTGAGATTATGCGTTTTTGCGGAGATAAATATATATAAAAGTAGCGTAAGTATTCTACACTCCCAAAAGCTCATAAATACAGCAAGAAAATTCGCATTTTACAATTTAGTCCAGGCTGAACAATTCGAATATGAATATAATTGGGTTCTGATGCTCACCCTCTATAATGACCCGCAAATGAAATGAACTTCTCCCTTGAGAAGGTAGCTCAAGTTCGTCAGTTTCTATAATTCATTCAAACAGGCACTGCTAATTTTAGCTCATTTTCCTCTCCCTATTTATTCTTTGTCTAATTAGAGTCATAAGCATTTCCAGTATCAGAATTCTGAGCCAATTAGGCTGTGTCTGCTTTCTATGCTAGTCAGAAATGAATAGCCACCAGGAAGGGCTAACTTCATTGCCTAGATTAAGTCTCTTATTTCTTATTTTATTATCCATTTTTTATTATATTCCATTAATCCAGTATTTTCTGACAAATGGCAGTAATCGCTGAGTCCATACTTCATTTGGCGAAAGAGAGCCCGAAACGGATTCATGCGATCGCATCTCGTTTTTTGATGCCATAGAAAGCGCTTCCAAGAAGTTCAATGGACACTCTTGCCCATACTTTTCCATCCGGTCCCGAGCAACAAAAATAAAATTGTCACCAAGGTTTGATGACAGGTAGCTTGTAGAGGCTGCAGTGATAGCACATTCCACTACACTGTACCAGACTTCATGTCTCATATCCAGAATAGAGACAATAAAGTCAAGTGCATAGGCTATCCTCAGAATGCATCTACTGAGGTAGCACTAGAGAATTCTTAGAACAAGTTAGCCTTCGGTTTACTCTTGCGATAATTCAGGCCACTAGTGATGCCTGAAGAAGCCTGTATTTTCTAAGCATACTTGGATGTACAAGCTTAACCTCCTTAATATTTTTTTCGCAAAACTGTATATTTCAAAGTAATAAACGTCATTTAGGACAGTGGAGGGGCATCAGCTTAAAATAAATATTTTTTCAGGGCCATCCGATGCAACACTGCTTGAATGGACTTTACTGGTTGGAAAGCAAAACTGGGCAGTATGGTAAGTTTTCCTATCAGTCTTTCGTCAAGCCATCTCCTATACCCAACTTAAAGAGTTCCGTCGTGAATAGTAGGCCACCCTGGAACGTTAGGAGGAAATAGTAAAAATGCTGGTTAACGGAAAACTATCATGAGTTGGGGTGCATTCAAAGGCCTTCACTCTTCACATTGCTACAGCATCGCCCATTTGCGTTTTGCGGATTTATCGATAAGTCATGCATTAAAGTTTAGTGGTTTTTGAACCTTATTTGTTGTTGCGTCTATTGGCGCATGATGACCTTGATTAGCTGAGAGACACTTGCTGGTAAGGCTCCTTCTGGCCCCTACCAGTCCCCGATAGATGCAATTATTGACGAAACTTTCAAGCTTTTGTGAAGTTATATAAGAAAGAAACATTCCAGATGCCTGCACAGCTTCCTGCCTGCTCATTTATTACGCCCAATATGGCCCTGCCACGGTGGCAGCTATAGTTGCCTACTCTTTTTCTTCTTTTTCCTCCTAATCCTCCTCTTCCTCCTCCTCCTCCTCTTCCTCCTACTCCTTTTCCTCCTCTTCCTTCTTCTCCTCTTCCTCCTCTTCCTCCTCCTCCTCCTCCTCCCCCTTCTCTTCCTCCTACTCCTTTTCCTCCTTCTCTTCTTCCTCCTCTTCTTCCTCCTCCTTCGCTTCTTCCTCCTCTTCCTTCTCATCCTCCTCCTCCCCCTCCTCCTCTTCCTTCTCCTCCTCCTTCTCTTCCTCCTCCTCTTCCTCCCCCTCCTCCTCTTCCTTCTCCTCCTCCTTCTCTTCCTCCTCCTCTTCCTCCTCCTCCTCCTCTTCCTCCTCTTCCTCCTTCTCTTCCTCTTCTTCCTTCTCCTCCTCTTCT